TGTAGCTTTGCGCGAAATTAAAAACAAACAAACAAACTATAATAATTGATCAAGTTAGTACTTGAAAACCTAGTTATGAAAAAATTAGAAAGGGAGGCTTAATTTTACCATATGTTCCATGTTTAACTACTAGTTTATTTAATGGGTTTACAAAACAACAGATATTCTACCCTATATTTAAACCGGGTTTCCATACCCATGGTGGGCAGAGCACAGATAGACCATTATGTAGCTTTTGTGCTTAACTTCAAAGAAACAAACATTAAAACGCGATTAATCTATAAAATTTGTACAATATGGTGGAGTGTTATAATGAGCAAGAGTATCATATTGGAAGTGAATATATATAAGTGATATATATACTTATAAATTTATCGATATATATATATATATTTATACATATATCGTGCACACACACACAAAAAAATGTTTATTATTTATAAACAAAGATTAGATACAAAATCTTATCTGAAATGTTTTAAGATGAATTAAAAACAAATTATATGAAATGTTATTACAGGGCTGACAGTGTATATAAACAGAAACAACGATTTCCAAAAGAAAGATTATTCAGAAGATAAGTGTAATATCACTCCTAACGAATGGAAGAGAGCACAAAGTATATGAGAGAACACAAGATGAAAAGCTTCGTTTTCCGCAATCGGCGTATGTTTGTGTTTCTGCTAATTTTCGCAGTTTTCGTTACAGTAGGCGTTGAATATCGTGTAGGAATGACTGCTTTTAAACATAGACTGAAAGACTTCACTAAGTACGTATCAAGGCAGGAAGCACGTAACAAAATATCTCCCTCAATATTAGCTAACCAGATTAGTGCTTCAAGAAACACTGACGTCAAGTCCAGCGACATACCAAGTGATTCAGTTTTGAAAAATAGTTTTACTAACAGGAAAAATAAAATAAAGCCAAAAAATATAATTTCATCACCTTCTTTGTTGTATATAAAACACTTTTCGAAAGCCTTCATATTCCCCAAGAATAAAGAAGATCTTTGCGATTGTTTGAAAAAATGTGCAAAAAATAATGCGAAGAAAGCATCACTCGACCTTCTGGTTTTTGTGACCTCGGGAACGAACCACTTTGACCATCGTCAGGCCATCCGAGAAACTTGGGGAAAAGAACTTTTTCAAAAGAACATAGTTTGTGTTTTCTTATTAGGAAAGAGTACTAACAACAGTCTTCAGAATCAAATAGAGAAAGAAGATGCTACACACAAGGACATTGTCCAAGCCAACTTTGTAGACAACTACAAAAATCTCACCTTAAAAACTGTGTCGATGATGAAGTGGATATCAATATATTGCAGCTGGGCAGAGTTTGTGCTGAAAACAGATGACGACATGTTGATCAATGTGGAGGCAATGATGGACTTTATCAGTTATATTAGAAATGAATCCAGAATAGCTATTTTCGGTAAATTAGCCCGAGGTTTCAAACCCCACCACGAAAAGAAGAGCAAGTGGTTTGTTTCCAAAAATATGTACCCCCACAGGACTTATCCAGATTTTGTTACTGGTCCAAGTTATTTAATACAGGGAAATATAACACGTACGCTTTATGAAACTAGTCTAGAAGAACCTTACTTTCCCCTAGAAGACGTGTTTATGACTGGTATAATAGCCAGCAAGCTTAATATACCCCTTAAACACCAGCGTAGTTTTAATACCAAACGCAACCGTCATATGTCCTCTAGTTCATTCAGACAACTCATCACTAGTCACAAATACTCTCCTAATGAAATACGTTTGTTATGGTCAAAACTTCAAGTTTAAAAACTTGTTTTTAAGATTACAAGGTCATAACTTAATAGTTTTTAGTGAACTTTCACTGTCTCACCCTTTATTATGTTTTGCAATCCAGCACTTCCGATATAATATATATATATATTTCTACCAATTGTGGTAATCAACGCTACCTGGCTTAGGGTTAAGACTATTTCATCTGGACATTACCTTAAACATTTTTATTCGGTTAACGTTTCAGATGATGTTTGCCTGGCTACTGTTTATTTTGACATTACTTTAGAATATGTTTTCGTATCATTGTTTCAGACAGATTTTATTTTTATTTTTTTGCCTGGCTCGTTTTTGCACAATACTAAAAGGATTTTAGTTTTGTATTCGACCGTTTCTTCAGATTATCTGACTTAGCTTCTGGTTTAACTAGTTTCCCAGACTATTAATTTGGACTGTTTCAAATGGAAATAGTTTAACATGAGTTTGCCTAATTATTACCTCAGTATGGTTTAGGCTATTGCTTATGACAATTCCCTGCTTATTTTTTATTGTTTTAATGACTTTGCCTGGAAATTGCTGTAAATAACTTATATTATATTTTAAGAGGTTTCACACGGTTTAGTCAATTTATGTATTTAATTTAAGTATATATATATATTTGGCTATTGTTTTAAACAATTTGGTCTGAGGAGTTACTTAGACGTTTTTTTTAGCTATTGTTTTAAATGATTTTAACTAGTCTTAGGATTAGACGATATTATCTGATGACACTTCAAAAATTTGACTATTTATGTCAGAATAGACAACGGGCTGTGCTTTGGACGGAAAGGTCCATGGTGGAACTGAACACATTCCACACTTTCATCTGTTATGAAAGTGACAATTAGTCCTGTTATTCAAGTGAAGGAATCTGACAAATAACTTGTTGCGGCGGGTACTGCTAGCTTGCTGACATTCTTCGGGCCAGTATATCAGAATTAGGGATGGCTATAGCTAAATACTAGGGGTTCTTGACATGCCATTCAGCCCACGTGTCGTATATAAAGTTCCGTTCAAGTTGAAAATTTCAGCTTGTTAAAATTATTTTTAACTAAGTTTGGGTTTAAGTAATGGCTAACGTGCAAGACTATATAAGACGAATGTCCATGATTCACGTCCGGTTGTTGTAAGATCTCGCTCCGCACTCTGGGGTTGTGGGTACGTTATAAGAGAGACGGTCAAGTCCCACTATTCGATTAGAGTAGCCTAAGAGTTGGCGGTGGATGTTGTTAACTAATTGTATACTAAGTAGTTATTTTAAGAAACTCTTATCTTTGATTAAATCTGTATATGAATTTATTTTTATAAGAATATTATCTCACTGTAAAATGTGATGAAAGTACAACGTTTCACCAGGTTAACCTGGCATCATCAGGTACATCAACTATAATGAATGAATTGAAACTATATATATTTGAAGTTTCATTTCATTCATTTAATTATATATATTTGAAGTTTCATTTCATTCATTTAATTATATATATTTGTAGTTTTAATTCATTCATTCCATTATATATATTTGTAGTTTCAATTCATTCATTTAATTATATATATTTGTAGTTTCAATTCATTCATTCAATTATATATATTTGTAGTTTCAATTCATTCGTTTAATTATATATATTTGAAGTTTCAATTCATTCGTTTAATTATATATATTTGTAGTTTCAATTCATTCGTTTAATTATATATATTTGTAGTTTCAATTCATTCGTTTAATTATATATATGTGTAGTTTCAATTCATTCATTGTAGTTGACGTACCTGATGATGCCAGGTTAACCTGGTGAAACGTTGTACTTTCACTAAATTTTACTCTGCTTATCCGATTTATCAAGTTTCCCTTTAATTACGACAGAGTACTTCCTTTCATCGTATTATCTCACTGCACATATAAAAAAAAACAACTAAAATTTAGAAATGTTCAAATCCATGAAAAAATCCCCCTTGTGAATGCTTAATAGATTTTGTACGTTTAAATGATATAAAAAACAACTAATCTACCGTCACTACAACATGTACTTCAAATAAAGTAAATTACATGCGTATAAGATACTAATGTTTGTTCTTTGTACAGTAATGTATGGAAGCACATATGATTTATTTGCAACGATAGAAGAATGCTAAAGAAAGTTCAAACAATACGGAGTTGAAAGGTCAGTTGATGCAGTCGTGAAACATTATAGCTCATCATCATTCTGTTTCAATATTAAAAAAAAGGCTAAAGAAAGTAGTCTCTATAATTCATGAACAGAAAGTTCGTTATTTACAATCTGTAAAGGGAAGTCAGGTTCAGTTTTATTTTCTCCATTTGTAAGTAATGCAGTTGTAACCTGAAATAAATATATACTCATTCCCAATTGACCATTTTTTAAACTTGATTCAGTAAACAGATAGAACTCCTCGGGTTGTTGGAAAATAAAAGTCACCTTACCTTATGATAGGTGTAATAAATACGTATAACTATAAAATTCACATCTGACAGATATTGTTTTGTTTGACATATACATATCATTATATTTTAGGCCTAGTGTAATAGATGTGGTAATTTTTAGCCATTGTAAATTAATATGATTCGAATGACATGCGTAAAGCATAGAGGTTTTGTAGAATAGTTGGAGTATCAGTTTAATCTTCTTGATAACCGATGTAATATATTAGGATTTTTAAAAATATGTTCAAAGCAAACATGTAGCTTGGTGCTCTTGTACTACGACTCATGTAGTGTTGTAGTGCGTCCACGTCCTTCGTATTTCTGTAGTACTTCTCAGATAATCCTGATGGGCATCTCTAATAATCACATTGTACGAAGGTAATACAGCTCTGCAATGCTTTAATTATAACTTAGGGAATCCTATAGTACATAAATACTACAGCTTTTCTACATCTCTCAAAAAATCTTCAATAAATTCATAGTACGTCCCCGTTAAGAATTAGTAGATCCTTATAAACCCGTTTTTAAAAGTCTATGAATATTGTAGTAAGTACATGATACGTAGTACGAATGTAGCAATGTTATAATAAATCTTCAATAATTCCATACGACGTCTAAGATACATATCCAGTAAAATTAGGTAACATCTATAGTAATCCTATTGTAAAACTACAATGATCTTTTAATACATATCTGGTACACATACAGTACATTTATAGTCACCCTGTTGCACAACAACAATAACCATAATAAAGCTAATAAACATACTGTACATCTATAATCATACTGTTGTAGAACAACATTAACCCTGTATTAGATATCAAGTACCCATATAGTACAACCATTGTTATCCTGTTGTACAACAAGAACCCTGTAGTAAAAATATAGTACATCTATAATCATCTGTTGTAGAAAAACAATAACCCTGTAGTACACATATAGTACATCTATAATTATCCCATTTTAGACAACAATAACCCTGTAGAACATATCTAGTACACATATAATATATCTATAATCATCCTGTTTTAGAACAACAATAACCTTGTAGTACCTATCTAGTAACCATATAGTACAACCATTGTTATCCTGTTGTTCAAGAACCCTGTAGTACACATGTAGTACATCTATTGTCATCCTGTTGTAGAACAACAATAGCCCTTTAGTACATATCTAGTACTCATATAATACATCTATAATCATCCTGTTCTAGGACAACAATAACCCTGTAGTACATATCTAGTATACATATACTACATCTATTAACATCCTGTTATAGAACAACAATAACCCAGTAGGACATATCTAGTACATCTATTTTCATCCTGTTGTAGAACAACAATAGCCCTTTAGTACATATCTAGTACTCATATAAGACATCTATAATCATCCTGTTGTAAAACAACAGTAACCCTGTAGCACATATTTAGTACATCTATAATCATCCTGCTGTAAAACAACAGTAACCCTGTAGTACATATTTAGTACATCTATAACCATCCTGCTGTAAAACAACAGTAACCCTGTAGTACATATTTAGTATATCTATAATCATCCTGCTGTTAAACAACAAATAACCTGTTAGAAGTTGTAGTACGTACCTAGTACATATACATTTATAATAACACAGTTACGAAAGGCTACGAATTTTGTAACACCTATCCAGGAGGCCTGAAAAACAAATATAATGCACCTATTTCAAGTTCATATGTGCTCTAAGTTGAGTAGTTCTCAACACACTCTTAGTGATTCTGTATTTTACAAGTGCAATCCTAGACAAAAACAAATTTAAAAAGGAATGAAGATTTATCGAACTTCTCTGTCATGCTGAATCCTAAGTGAATTTTCTTTTTTAATCGCCACAAATATATTTTCTTATTCGAGAAAATAGTCCGACCAATTCTAATACTAAACAATTTTACTCACTCGAATGGGACTCCATGCTAGGATAATATGGATTGATCATACGCAGATTATATTTTTACTTGAGCTTCTTCTACGAACATTCTAAGGTGTTACTTTCTGACATTATTTTACAGTCAATAATCTTCATTTTTAATTGAAAATAAATTGTGTTTTTCTGGGGTAAACATTATATATTTTAAACAGTTGTCATAGAAAAGGTTTTAGGTGGCTCTTGAGCAACAAACAAGCCGTGGATCATAGACTCAAAACAGAAAACAGTTATGCCGTTGTGTTAAGGCTGTACTTACAATTTAGCCATCGCAGGCTTAAGACCTACGAGTTTCGTCACGTATTGCACTATCCGTTACACTTTCAAGCAGAAACATAAAACTTGACAAGAAAAGGTTGTTTAAACTAACACTTATCGCGACAAACTGCATCAGGTTAATTGAGTTCACAACTTAGCATGCTATCTATAAACAATTCCGTACATAAATTTATAAAAATATGGCTTTATATAAATACTGTTTGACAATTAGACTAGGAGTTAGCTTTCCACGTTCATAAAGGATTAAATAAGTTAAATAAAATATTTTCCTCCACTGTTTACCTCTTTTGCAAACACTGATCTCTAGCTTTACTGACGTGGAAACACAAA